GCTCATTCGAGAGCAGGAAAGTGCCGGTCGGCACATCGATGTTCCTGCGCCAGTCAATTTACAGTACCCCTTGCATTCAATTGACCCTGCATGGAATTTCTGAATGGAATTTGAAAGTGTGGCACATCCTAAAAGGTACCAAAACCCAGTGTTCTTTATCCCTTGAATATAGCTCCCCACCCCCGTTCTAGCCTTCTGGCCATTGTTGCACGAGGAGAACCACCCACGAAATCCGCCTGGACGTCGCCATAACCGGCCGCTCCAGTCATCCTTGAATAATTGTCTGTTGTTGGCGGTCAGACGGTCTTGCGTGAGAATGCAAATCGAGGAGACACAGAGACATCGAAGCCGTTAAAGGACATAATGATGAGCATGTGCAATTGAACCTCCAGCAAATAGCCCTGCTAATATTTACCCACGAATCAATAAATCGATTTTCAGATACTATGTGGTCACAGAGGGGCGAATGGTTCACTTTAACTGGGCATAATTTATACTGCTTTTTTTCTGGTTAAAGTCAACTCACTACTCCTAAATTAAAATGGGATTAAAATAATTAAGTTAATGTTTTTTAAACAATAAAAATTATCAAAACAAATAGTTTAAACTATCCAATTGTATAGTGAAAAGTGAGTTAATAATAATGTGACTGATTAGTTTCTTATATTTACATTCCATTTGGTTTGGAAATACTTTCAGTAAGCTTAGGTTGATCTGCTCAATCAATAAATCGATTTCTATCGTACATACATACATACCTGGTCGTCTGTGCAGTGTGGCAACTTCGTGTCCAAGTGGAACTCGTCCGGATCGTCGGTTCTCACAACAGGTGCAGCGGCTTTTTCTTTCGTTTCGAAGCATTTCCGCTCAATGATAATATCATTGATTGCCTCTTGAATCTCGATAACCTGAAAAATCAATAATCGATCCGAAACGATCGGGAACTCTGTGTTGAACATGTTCTCAATTCTATGCAAATGGATAGATTTCTCTGACATATGGGTTGCTGCTTCTCGGCGAAAGCTTTGTTTCGTGCTTGGGTGTCGTAATTGCGTACCTAGTGACACACGTTATGTTGGATAGCATCAGGAGCACTAAAAAGCTGCCGTATTTTTCTTCCTAGAGCATCGCTAGGTGTGCCATTAAGTCTGCAATATCGATGCATACTCCTCTTCCCTTCAAATTTGTGGAAAGTTTGCGCAGTTTGATCGATTTATCGATTTTTCCTGCCCCACTTGACCACTGCAATGGAAGGCTTGAAAAGGAACTGCCCAGTCTTCTAGAATATTGCAAGCGGAAAACTGGCGTGAATTTATCTGGTGGGAATGTTTCTGAAAAGTTACTTTAATACCCGCTAGAAAACGAATTGTAACTTCGAACTGTTTGAAAAAATTGAAATTCATAAATTCATTAACTGATTTCTCAGCAGTAAAAAAAAAAGCTGCTTCGTTCTGTTCGCGCTTGTAAAATATGCCGCTGGGAAGCCAACAAATGGGTCAACGTTGAAGATTTACAGGAATCGTATTTGCTTCTATGGGAGGGGGTCGTCCTGGATTAGAGAGGGTAGAGGTTTACTGTTTGGTGACGGGAGGTAATGAGCGGGGGGGATAAAGAACCGTGAAACCTTTCTTTTCCTCCCAAAAACCTTATTCGTATATAATAGGGTGAGGAGGAAGGAGGAGTGGCCTGTACTAAGTAAAATTCGTCGACACCTGCCGTCCCTAGGGCCGGCGTGGCAGCAAAAGCCCCGGTCGGGGACTGGGTCCTCAAACTCTGCAAGCTACTCTTGCCAATCGTCACCACTGGAGTATAAAAGCAGGTTCTGGGGACCGCATGCCCCGGCCGTGTTTGTTGCACTCGCCCTTGAAAGGATGGACAGACATGCGGTGAGGTGGCGTAGGTGGCGCTTCTGGTCATTTGCGGTGGAAGTACCGTAGTCCAGTTGGTCCGTAATTCGATCAAAACATTAGTATGATAGCGAAATGTGCGCTAAACGCCACAAGTTATTTTCCCTTCTTCGTTTGTTTCCCTGAAAGTTGTTCTATCAAAAAATTACGAGCAATCCCCACTATCTCTGCCATTCCAAATAAAACTAAAAAACTCTGGAAAATGCCGAAGTTCGCCGTGATTAGACGGCATCGTTCTACGAAAATACGTCCTTGAATTTTACCGCTAATTTACAGTAATTTAGCGCCCCAGCTGACAAATTCTAGCTCCCTAGGGCGTGGTCTCAAGTGTAACACCCGCGCATTCGCGGCAACAAACTCGGCGAAATATTGGCAACGATCAAACCGCGAATTTCTACTTTATTCTGAGCCTACTCGCTCACCAATAGCGCCCCATCAGGTGGAACGCAGACATTGTCTTCTCCGTCACACGTGCTCTCGTGTTTCACGGAGGACCCTTTGCCCTGCTCCTGAAAACTGAAGCGATGGCTTGAAAAATGCGCATTGAGATTGACGTTGAAACGGCTCGAAACACCTCATGCCCATTTAGGCCCGTGTGGCGCGGATGTTTTACTTTTGCGTACGCCCCCCCGCAACATGGTTCTGCTGGCGCACATGCCTCACCGTCACCTTTCAGTGCAAACGCTCTGCCCGCAGCTTTCTAGGGCCCATGACTTACCGTATTCTGTGCGTCAACTTCACAATGGTCGTTATTCAGCCGATAGCACCAGTGGGCGTGATTCGCTTTGAATGCCTCCAGTGCTTCACATTCCGTTTTTGCATCCTGTAAGTTCATCGTTAGAGCGTTAATTTTGTTTGTCCCATAAGTCTGGCACCGATCAGTAAAGTGCCCGCGACAGTAATGTCAACATCCACATAACTGCGTGGAAGTTACTTGTTTCGGTATGGAGGTCAGGAACCAGGTAACAAATAAGAGGGAAAGGGACGCCACTGATCGATATATCGATTTTAGCAAAACTCTTACTCTGAGCTTTTAGAGTACGGTATATCAAACGAATCGAAAAACAGGGCGTCAGGAAAATACCTTAAACTGCGAAAAACTCTTATATTTGTTTGATGACATTTCAGGAAAAAACAATAATCACATAATCGATCGGCGCCACAACTTATGGGATACGGTAAAGGCTCTCCTTCTCTGGAACTCACCCTCAAAGCGCATTTCTCTTTTTCAAGTGTGCTCTGGTAGCAATCGCTCTGCTTGGCGATCTCGTCCTGTCGCAAGCAGATTTTTGCCGCGATTGACGCGTACGGCGACTTTGAGTAGTCCGAAGAACAGATGTCGTAGATGTATACAAAGAGTTGACCGCATCGCTCATATTGATTTTGAGTTCCTGAAAAATTTCACTTTTCAGATTTATGGAGGTTTTTCTGGGGTGGGGTCATCTAAAAATGATAACAAGCCAAGTTTTTGACATTTTCTCTGCCTTTTCAATGAATAGTGGGAATACTCCTCTTAGAGAGCCTCCTCGTATTGCCGTATTATTGTATTAGATGACGAAATGATCTCCATTAGGGCCATAAGTCACAAAATAATTCCAAAAGTGTCAATCGTTCAGGGCAATCAATGCGCATCTTTTGTGTAAGGATACCGTAGACACGCACCTCGTTGTAAATATGGAATTCGTAATTGCGGTCTGAGAGTGAACGGCTTCATTCCAACCACTGGAGACCTCCGAAGGCCTGTAGCTTCGGCTGGTTTTCTTTCCCCGCAGCTCTACCCCAGCTCCTTTCGTGAAGTTGGGGTTACTGTTCAAGGGCAGAGAGGTCGGGCTATGGGTATGGGTAAAGCGATCCAGATAACCTGCTATTAAACCTACGGCACCACTAAGAATACACCCTTTCACGGGTAACACCCTCTCCCACACTTAGAGTATAACACCTGCCTTGGAGTGCACGTCCCATGACTACAGAATGAGGATGTTGTGCCTCAGAGGGAAACTGTAGGAGCTAATTAGTCCGTCACTGAAGAAGTAAAAGAAACAACGAGAAAAGCTCTGATAAAACCGTGCCTTTTGTAGTTCATTCTGAGCATTGTACGCTTGCAGCACTAAGCGCCACGAGGATATACCAGACGATGAGCGAACAAAAGAGCGTGGGGACGAGTGAGACGCAGAGTGTGCGTGATCGCGGTTCCATACGAAGCCAATCGCAACAGGTGAGGTCAATTTCCACTGAAGCAATCGGCGCCCTCGTGCCTTCGAGCCATGAAGTGGCAAGATGTGGTCACAACCTTTCACATTATGAATCAATCCACCATGCTAACCGAAGGAATGCTCCCAGTCAGCTCACCCCTCGAAAGGCCTGCAGAATACGCCTTCATGGAATTATCATTGGTAAGTTCTGTAGCCCATCGAAAACTTGTAGAAATTTCTAGAAAGCTCAGGCTCAAAAGAAGCAAAAGCTGAAACGGTTTCTTACAAACCGTACCCGGCCAGCATTTTCAGGCGCAAATGGATACGAGAGTAGTTGAATCCGGAGCAATTGATGTTATCTGAATCACCGGTCCAATAGTCCGCCTGGTGGTGGTGCTGGTGGTGACCACAGCGTCTGAGTTGATTCTTCTGGCCGCTGGAGCAGTGACAGCTTTTTCGTCCTCATCGTTAGCGAATGTGGGAGTTTCCTGTAAGAATATATGTAAATCAACAAAATTAGAAAAGTCTGTGATTGCACAATTTGACTGCTACAGTAATGGCGCTATTGCAAGCGTGATAGTTACCCCTTATGATGCTAATGGTATGCTCTCTAGAATAGCACATCTGACCAGGATCTGCACACGCTCCACAAAATTATAAGGACACCTAGATTTAAAGGCACGGGTTGCAAACGATTTCTCTGAGCAGTACTCTCTTTTAATGGGGTAGCAGGCTCCCCTAGTACACGAGTCGTGGTCTGCCGACTCAAAAGTGCGCTACAGAGGCGTCAAGGTCTACCGCTGCGACCGCTGCCATTTTTACTCGTTTGCAGCCAACACAATTTTGAAGCCCTATCATACGACGCGTTCCCTCTTCTCGTGCCATTTCTCCCTTCGTCGTGCCTGGTCGACCTTACTGAATGTATGTCCATAATTTCAGTGTTTTCTTTGGTTCCTTACACTTTATTCCCTCACTGACGGTCCCCTTCGCACCTCATGTTTCATTTTCGGGCGGAATAACACAACATCCCAAACGCGACCTGTACCTTTAAGATCCGAGGTTAGAAGGGGTCATAGTTATGTGGAGAAAGGCTCGAAGACGTCATCGATGTTACCGCAGACCAGACGCGCGGTTACTTTTCCCGCCGCGTTCTTCGTGAACACGTCGCGCGCGGCAGGGATGGTCGTCGCGTCGTCGCGTGCGTTGTGCCGCAACGCTTTGGAACCCTGCTACACCTCGTACCACGTCCAACCGTCAGATGGCGTTTTCCGAAAAGTTCCCTCCACCAAGTGACTCCGCCCAATTGCACAAATGATCGACTCCCAAGAGTGCATAGTGGAATTATTCACATAATTTAATACTAATTGAGCAATTCGATTTGATCATATATGTATAATTTATGAAAAAAAGAAGTAAATACTGACCGTTGTTGGTGGAGGAACGTCGGCTGGAGCGCGACATCTCAACGATCCTCTGATCTCCTTCGGACTCGTCGATGATTGGCTGTAGCATTTCAAGTGCGGCTTCCGAACAGTCCTTGCTGTACCTGAAAATTAATCTACTTATTCACCTTTCTACGGTGTTTACTTTACCATCAGACTATTATTCATTCATTCTTTCGTTTTCTCAGGTTATTTCCGATTTCCGAATTCCACTAAAGGGTGATTGTTCAATTAATCTTTTGAATCTTTCAAAAAGCTTTTTCAAAAAAAAAGATAAAGCGAATGCCGTTCAAAGACATGCAAAGGTACATAGGTGGGTTAACAACTGCTGAGGGGTCAGTAGGAAATCCAGAAATCGAAAAACGGAAATCGAAATCAGGTTGAGCAGGAGTGCGTAGCCAAATTAAATTAAATGTTTTCGAAGTGTCATCAAAACCGGCCTACCTCATTCTCTCAGACAGGCTCTGCTTTAAAAAACAATAAATACAAAGGAAACAAGGGTTCTTTTTGAATTTAACTGCTACAGTATCCAAATTAGCCATTAGCAGCTTTATACATAAGTTGAAGACTATCTTTGTGGCTAAATGTAAAATATGTGTATTGATTGAATTTGAAAGTCTTACTGTTGGATGCAGTGGACATCTTGAGTGACGGAGGTGACCAGGCGACAGAACGGTGACGCCAGCGGATCGAATCTGAACATGTTTACATAGGAGTTTTATCGAAGTATTCGAGCAAATATTTGTAAACATTCAGGTATTCAGAGAAACGAAAACTTGGAAATTCGCCAACATCAAAAATCCAAATCCAAACTGCAAAATAACAAAAAGATAAAAAATAAACTGAAAAATCTTCTGAAACTACGTTGAAATACTACATTCAATAAATATCCACGTTGAGTTTTCGTGATATGAAATTATTTCTAAGAAATATAAAAACTAAATAAGCTCAAATTCAAGACTATCAATTTTTGAAATAATACCAATTAAACCAATACGTGAAGTAGTAAAAAAAAGTAGTGAAGAAACAATAAAAAAAAAAGTAAAAAAGTAAAAATGTACAGAAAATTTATAAATAAAATAAATAATTGATAAATTAAATTAAATGAAATAATTAATCTAAATAGTTGGATGGACTCACTTCAATTCGCATCTGGGATCTCGTCGTCGACCAAAACATTCATGGTGCTCGCGAACGGTTGGAATAAGCAATTGACAGGCATACATTTCCACCTGAATGCGATATCCGATATTATACTACTGAATTTCGTAAGGGCAGTGTAGAGCGGGGCAAAGGGCTCGCCATCGCCAGCCATGGTCGTAGGGATCGAGTCTTCGATCAATAAAAGAAGTGCAGGCTAACATAAGACAACTTCACCACTAGTTTTAAAGAGCCTTTAGTTGTGGCCACATTCATTTGGGGCAGGTTAAAACCTGGTCTGTTCTCAAGGTAATCGCTACATTTGTGCCAAATTCGGCATCCTTCATTCCTGATCACGAGTCGAGATCTAGATAAGTCACCAAATCTTCAAAACTGCTGGAATTGCTAAGATTGGATGTCGGGGTGGGCCGTGCAGGGTATGAGTTTTCAAACTGAGGAGGAACGGAGGGGTGGGGGGGGGGGGGCAAGGAGTTGTTTTGACTTTTGGGAAAAAAGGTAGTGTTCCAAGTGAAAATGACCTTAACGGCGTATTCCTGGCGTATCCCTGTGCCACTTAGGTCTCAGTTCTTATTCGAAAATAAACTTGCATTAACTATCGGCAGAGTTCTACCAATCAATAACTAATCGATAAGCTCACCTGTCTCCATGCCTGTACTCCTTCGTCAGGATTACATGACTGTGAAGGCACCTTGTGTGCATATTTGGTATTCATGCATCAGTTCGCAACCCTTGCTAACCTTGGCTTGGCTGAAACGGGAAAATTTTCGCAAATAATGGAAAACGAGAACATTTGGAAAAATTCGAGATTGGAAACAAATTCCAGCCCAACGGCTTTTAAAACACAGAAAAATATGCCAAATTGTTGCTTTTTTAGTTGTACGGTAGGAAAACATGAAGTTCAAAGGATTTCTGTGCAGAAGAGGGTTTTTGAACTTCTTTATTCTTCTAGGAAGGCTAATGAAGGGTTTTATACTTGTTCTCCCCATTTTCTGTTCCCATTACCTTCTGCTTTTATGCCAAAATTCCTCGAAGGTGACCTTCTGATAAAATCTCGATCAATCAATAAAAACAATCAATAACCCACGTGTCTTTGTCGGAGAGAAGACTTGAGTTCTCGAAGTAAATAGCGTTCACGTCATGTAAGAAGAGCAGAATTGGTTCTGCACATTCGTCTACTCTCAGCTGATGCTCATAAGGGCAGTCATCCGTCGGAGCTTCCGTGTCTGAAAATCAGCCAGCTATCTCAGAAGTCTGACATCAACACAATAGGACAACAGTTCCATTTAACTCTACAGCTAATCAGATGCTTCGATGATTCACTGATTTTATCCGGACAAGGTTCATGAAAAGCTGCAACGAGATAGAGGTTTTTGTGTGGAAATAGTGCGCGTGCGCGCGGTCGCGTCACGGTTTGATTGAGAGTAAATGACAGTGAATACCTGGTCTGGTAATAAGTTAATTATTCGATCTAGAAAGTTCTAAAAGTCCTATAGCCGCTGGAAGGTAAGCCGTGAGGCGAAGATGCTGGCACGGAGTAGAATAAATATTTTGCCGGTGATGTGGTTCAATGCTTCCATGAGTTGGAGTGGTTTGGTGACCTTTTTGCCGATGGGTGGGATTTGTTGAGTTTCTGTCTAGTGGAGCTGGAGTTGAAACATACAGGGGGGGGGCAAAAAAAAGACATTTTGCCTATGTCGGACTTCGGCCCTTTTTTCTTCGCAGAGATTGCCGGCGTTGACGGGAGTTCCTCAGCAGAGTATTCCCTAAGTGTCCCTCTATAAGTGAACGCAGGCCCTCCTTCACTGCCCTCACCGTCTTCAGAATATGACGTCATCTGTCACCGTCGTCAGGCTCAAGGAGGTCTACCGTAAGAGCTTCAGCCTGAAGCTCTTACGCAATTTCGTGAATCGATTTAATGTTGGATAGTTTTCTAGAGGCATTAGCTACCACTGTGCAAATCCCCTCGAAACGAGCTTTCCAGTAAAGGTCGTTATGGTACACGATCCTTCGAAGACCCCATTGAGCTCGACCAGTGCACCATGTTTCCAGGGCAAATTCTTCTGATGCCGTCCACGTAGGTGGCCAACATGAAGATTTTCTTATAGAATGGAATGCGCTCTTTAATAATAAGTTGGAACCATTCGGTCTGAATTGAGCAAAATGTGCTTAAATCCATCTGGAAGTGGAGACAAAATGTCTTTTTTTTTATTGCCCCCCCCCTTACTTACTTACTTACTTACTTATCCCTTAGCTTGCGTCTGGTGGTGGGGGCCGGCCTCTCAACCAGTACACTGCTGTGGGTGCCATTGGAGTACGAACGCCCTGAATGAAGTGTCTCCATTCTGGTCGATTAGCAGCAATACATCTAGCATGCTCAACACTGCACCTCAGAGCCCTAAGGTCTTCCTCAACTTGCTTCAACCAAGTCTTTTTTGGAGCCGTCCTCTGAACTTTCCACTGCGCAGGGCGTCTTCTCCACAGGAGCATATTAGGTATTCTGTCGTGACCCATCCTGCACAGGTGACCGAACCATCGTAGCCGTCGCAGTTTCAATTGTTCCTCGATTGTGGGTTGATCTTCAAACTTCTCCCTGATGGCGTTGTTCGTGACATGGTCACGAAGCCTGATCCCGAGCATATGGCGGAGACAACGCATTTGAAACACCTCGAGATGAGAGAGATCCGACTTGAGCAACGTCCATGTCTCAGACCCATATAGTAGCACAGGGAGCACCAGCGTCCGGAACATGCGAATTTTGGTTTTCAGTGATATGTTACTCTTCTTCCAGAGACACCACTTTAACGCTGGCAAATCATCACCCTACATATATACGTTGTCGCTTCGGATGGTTAAATTATCGAGTGGGATTGCCAGTCATTTCCAAGGTGAACGGCATTTCTCCCATGAATCAGCCTCAAACCGGTCTCTGAATTTGTGATCGAAGCAAACGAAGAGAGTGCTGGGCGGGTGGAACTGGGCGTGCAAGGGACTCACTTGGAGGTTGCCGTTGCTTGTGCTGAGGATGTGGTGCATAGTGGGGCTGATGTAGGAGTGGACGAGTCTCAGTGGTCGAGTGGGGAGCCTGTCTTGTGGCGCGTGTGTGTCGAGGGTCTGTTGGCGAGGGTGGTTGAGCGCAGAGGCTCGGGTCGGGGATCGCTGGGATTTCGAGTGCGATGTTGGTATGAGACCGACTGCTTTCGTAGTGTGTTGGTGAACGGCGGAAGATACTGTGTTGTTTTATTATAGGGGGCAATGGCTAGGAATGAGAGGGATAGAGAAGTAAAGTAATAGCGATAGGAACCTAGGCGTTCTTTTGAATGGATGTAGGTAGATTAGTTAACCCTTGTGTGTTGAGATTGTGTGAATACCTATGTTTTTTAGGGAGGCGAAGAGAAGCAGGGGGGGATGAGGAGCGCGTGAGGATCAAGAGGAGTGCGAGTGCGGAGAGGTTGGTACGTTGGTAAGCCGAATGGACAGTTTTGAGAGGGACAGAAGAGGAGGGGAGTTGCGCAGTGAGTAAGTGGTGGAGGGGGGGCGCGAGCGGCAGTGGGATCGCAGTGAAGCGGAGGAGGGAAGAAAATTTGTATGTTGAGGCTGGATGATGGGCGATAATTAGGAAGATATGGTATAAGATTGGAGCCGGAGATAGAGTCAGGTGATGGGTGACAGAAGTCAATAATGAAATCAGGGTAACTGCAGTAAGCTGATGGAGGCAGTCGATGAGATGCTGAGAAATGGGGGGGGTGGTAGGGCCTCGGGGATTACTTTACAAATTGTATTGATGGGATTAGTATCTCACGTTGATGATTTTTATTTATCTTTTCACTGCATTTTTACTAATTTAGTGGTGCGGTATTTTATAATTATATGTAATACAGTGCATGATAGACTCTCCCCATTACTTTCATGCTTCTCGTATCACAAAAACGAATCTTCCCACCTTTATTCCTCCTCGCTTCTCTCGCTCACCAGTTTCTCTCTCCCAATTTTTCCTCACTCTTTTTTCTTGTCAGCTCCGAAAACTGATCCGGGGATATGAAGAGTTAATTAGACTTTTGCGGAGCCATTAACCGTCCTAATTAGGTGATTTACGCTAGGGTGTTCAGCAACGTCCGGGAGCTTTATTGAAGTGCGTTAAGCCGTTCAGAACCGATTTCTCTTGGCGGACTCGTTAGGATCGCCGTTGCGAAAACTGGCGCCTGAACATTCGGAAAAGTGGATGTTTTGAGTGGTGGAGAACGATTACCGGAGCCTAATGAGATAGCAGATTCACATCTAAAAAGAAGTCGGGTTAAGTGGCCCGATTCGATCCGAAATGAGTGACAAGCAGGAAAAACCCGAGAAAGAGAATTGATAATCATTCAGCAACGAGGAAACTGTGACTATGCAAGAAAACTTGTGAAAAAATGCAGCAGCTAGGGACTACTTTGCGTCTCTGTCATCGCTGTCACTCTCTCTGAGTCCCTCTACGCAGGGATTCAAGCAGGGTCAACCGTTACGTTGGACCGACATTGGACCGACGTTGGACCGACGTTGACCGCTCTCCGCGCCGGCATTCGCACTCGCCTTGCGCGAGCCGTCTGTGTCTCCGTGCGTACGTTCACTCTCGGCATTACTCTCACACGCTAGAGAGCCATGCGTTGGACTTTGTCCAACGGACAGGAGGCCCGTCGAGCGGCAGGAATGCAGAGTCAGCGGACGAGTCGCAACGCGTGCTGTGCGATGTAGGACGAACAGTGGTACATTTTATTCAACTTGACGCGAACTACAGTACGCGCTGCACCTCGTCCACCAACCCTGCCTTGTTGCCGCGCGACGGGCCTCCTGTCGGGTACTCCTCGACGCGGTTTATCAGCGGTATTCGCGCATTACGCTTCACGGCGCGGATGCAGCCAAGCCCATCGTCGATTGTCCACGAAACTCTTGCGTCTCTACTCTGGGCGATGACGCTACTATCATGGTCAAGAATAGGGAAGGGTCCAGAGATGAAGAGTTTTGGGGACCTATCCCAGAGTTGGGGCTTCCTGCACACGGCCCCAGTTCACCACGTATCACGGCGGGGAATCAATAGTAAGGCCCGCCCCCGATGATACTCACTCATTTACAAATCACTCGGTGCGCGCTCGTTTTCCCTACTGCTTTGACATGCAGGGGTTACTCAGATGAACTTATGCTGCGCTATACCACCAAAACCTTAATGCCATGGAAACGAATGTACGCGCTTCCATGGAAAACATATCCACGACAACATTCCCGATATACAAATAGCCTACAATGGTGTCCTGGCATAGTTGGAAGTGCCAAGCGACGGGCCCACGCTCTTTCGTCTGTTCCTCCAACGCTTATATCCCGAATATATGCCACGTGGCGGCGAAATAGCAACGGTCCCTAGGATCAAGCCCTCGAGGAACAGACGAACAGAGCGTCGCGCCGCCCCGCGCCCCCTGCCCAACTACATTCAGCACTCTGAATAGTCGTAATATTCTTGGCCTGAGTTATTTTTTGTTCTGACACACCTTATAAATGAGAATCATTGTGACAGTAATGCCTATTGATTACATTGTTGATTTTTTTTGTATTAAAGGACGGAATATTGATGAAATATTGAAATATTCATGAAATAATAGGTAAAATTGTCTGATTGTGAGGTTATCCCGATTTCATAAGATTCTTACTTTTCAAGTACGATACTCAAACACAACACCGTCAAGTGTAATAACAAATTGACGACTCTGCTGGCTGATATAGAAGAATTGAAACGGCGGGTTTTCAATCTACAAAACTAGGCGCTATCGCAATATACGGGGCATTGCGGTAGCACTGCATTAAAAATGGCGTAAAACATGCCCTCTTTTGTTGAAACGGAACTAAGCCTTGGACCGGGAGTATAGACTCCATGGTGCGTGGGTCATTATTATTCGCTTCGGAGTTCCTGCCCCTCGCAGGCTCAGTCATAGAGGACACCGAAAAGCGATAGGCGCACGGAACACCTATTCAACTTGCAGCGCAAAAAAAGTTCGTGCATAAAATAGAATTGGCTGGCTGCCAAGATGACGGTAGGGATCACTCACGATATCAGTAAGCAGGGTTCAAATTTGATCTTTGTGGGGGTGGGAGGCTCAGCTGGTGAAAAATCCAAAGCTTTCAGAAACTGCCCAAATAAGGTCCTGATCTTTGCGGTGGCCCTTCTGTAGCTTACGCAAAGTAACACTGGGCACTGCGGCGAGGGACGAAGACCAAGACTGAGTAAATTTATTGGGTTTTGAGCGAGAGAGCAAAGGGACAAGTGAGACGCAGGCACCAACGGACTCATCAATCACCAATTGTGGGGGCAGCTCACCTAAAGGGCGTTTGCTGCCTTAAATTCTCAAGCTCCTAGTAGTGCGTGAAATGTGGTCCGAATCATGGATTCTTAGTTCTCGTAAACCGCCTTACCGCCCAGAGGAATGCTGCCTTCAGCACAGAAATGAACATGACGAGTCAAAAATATAATTTTTTTCAAACACAGTCCATCTCAACCAAGCCCGTCGATTTATACGATAAAGAAAAGGCTTGGTCATCAATATACACGCCTACACTGCTCACTTGTCATCACAATCTGGTTCACCGTCACCAACCCAATCCTCTGGAATACAGGAGCCGTCCTTGCATGTGAAGGTGTTTGACGGACAGGCGGCTTGTACCGTCCCCACAGCGGCCACCACACCAATCACCAGAGACAAAACGCAAAGCAAGCGCATGCCTGTAAAAGAAAAAAAATAATCTCACACACAGAGCAAGTAATCACGACAAGATTGAACGATATGCATTCATAACTGTCCCAGAAGTCGCGCATGAAGGTTAGTTTAGGCGGCCATTTTTGAGAACATTGCTACGAAGACCTACCACGAACAGGGGCCCTGCCTCAAGGTGTTTCCTCGGAACAGCGACGAGTCTAGGCCATAAAACCTGTCAGCGATACGCAATTCAGAAGATCGGCCCTCGTCGATCGCCTGACGATCAGACGACCGAAATAAACTTTTATTTAGCTAGGGAAGCTGAAGGGTTCCCAAAACCCGAAGAGATCTCAGTGGCGAGGATTTCAGCGTAATGCTTGTTGGTGGGTGTGACCGAAACCCGATAAAAGAACCTGACCTTATCGTCACATAAGGGGTATGAGATCACCCGGCAACGCCCATTAAGAAACACTGCGATCAGATCCCGTATCTAGGGCGATTCCATTCAGTTCACATCCGTAATGGAGCTAATCAATATATCGATTAAATTGTACGGTCTATTACCGTAGCACTGTTAAAGGCGCTGTGAGCTCGGAACAAGTACGGTGGAAGAAATGTCAACCTGTTGAAGAGACCTTAACCATACTTTGACCATGTGCAGTAGAAAATCTTTCCGGTATGGCGCCACCGTATGTCATCTTCTCCAGGAATTTGTAGGAAGTCATTTGGATGATGCTCCCCACGTCCAACAATGGAGCCTTGAAACCCCAAACACGTGCTCCATTTGGGCCCTTTCTTCCAAACTCACAAATTACCGCCCCCCCCGTGGTATGCTTTGTTATCCCGCCAAGTTTGGATCCTCCCAAATTTCGTCAACGCCGCGTTTTTTGAATTCCGGCCTAGAGAATAAAGTAAAAACGAAGGCTAGGGAATATGGCCTAGGTTTACGAACCTAACGAAATTACTATTCGTTTAATCACGAGGAGCCGTCGTTTATTAGCGGCGTAACCCTTGCGAAGAACTATCAGCGATCATCGCCCTGGCGAAGGTTCGATTTGACGGGCGGTGACAAAGTTTTGCATTTTGGGTTGGCGTTCACAGATTGGCGAGAAGTGTTAGCATTTTTAAGAATAGAGGTTGTATTCGGGATCAGGGCCATCGTATCCTTGCGAAAGCGCTTCGACACCAATCGTATCACGTGTAACCATTCATAAAAGAACTTTGGGCCAATTCATAACTTCCTTGGCAGTTTACGTACACTTTGATCTTCAATATTTGTACACAATCTTTCAGCCTCTAATGATTCCCCTAGGTCGCAGTTCAAAGTTTATATGCAGTTGAAAGTCTTTCCTGGTGAGAAATATGGTTACATATGTCTAGAACTCTATGAAAAGAGCATGGGAAGCAAGAATGACATGTAAAAGATGCTGGATGCCTTTTAATGAAATTGTGCTTTCTAAGCGAGCTGTGGTCATACCGAGGACATGAGCCAGTAAGGGGTAGGCAGAGAATAGAATAGGGAAGCTGCGCCATGGTTTGAGATCCTGACTACCGTCGCCAGAGCTTAGTCTAATACCCGTTAGTCGCAAAGCGAGTCGGCTGATCTGCGTAGTGCAATAAACTGATTGCGTACTCGCGATACCAATACAGTAGCGGTCAAAAGTGTTCGCCGAAACGGTTTTTCGTGCTTCTCTTTTTTTGCGGGAAAAAAATCAATGGTGGCCTCGAAAATTTTTCTTTTGAATATCCTGATTCTTTAAAGTTTGAGGATATAAAAACACTAGAAAGCATAGTATATCAATCTTTGGAGGGCGTTGCTCAGCGAGAAAAAATAATGCACTGAAAATCGTTTCGGCAAACACTTTTCACCGCGCTACACTGTAAGTCATAGTCGCTATCGTCCAAGACCAAAAATTTTGACCGCAATTTTGCGTGAACTTTCTCTAAAATTCCAGAATAGAGCACGAAACAGCGCATGCACACTCAATAGCATGAATGTAAAAAAAACGGGAGTAAAAAGCATGACCATTTGCAATAATCCCACGAGTTTTGACGAAACCCTAACAATCTTGAGATGCCTTTGCAACTCCTCGGAACATATTAGACCGTTGGCCCAAAAAACATTCTCATACTATTCGATTTTTCACAGGAAAAATCGCATAGTCCAACAATTACAAATTTGAACACGTTCAGAAGCAGAACGAATTAAGCAACTCGCACTAAACATCATCGCATAGTCCAACATTCAAATTTGAAGGACAACTCAAAAATAAGGACGAATTAAGCTCGGCACTAAACACTGCCTTCCCAGGATACGCCACACATTCGACTCTGTCTCATAATTGCAGACATGTTTGAATTGGGATAAGGGAAAGACAAGAATCTCGAGGTTATGCCCTGCTTTTTCAAGAAAAATACTTGTATCTTTTGCATAAGTGTTTGTTTTCTTTGTTTACGGATCATTCTTTAGGTCAAGCACAGTGAATTAGAAAAAAGCTCGACTTGTAGGATTTCGAACGCTGAACAACTCCTTCAAATTCCCGCTTTCAAAAAATTTGAAGAGTAATTTTAGTTCAAAAAATACTTTTCTACCTAAGCAGCGATAGAACACATGAACATACATTGAAAAAGTGGATATAAACCAGATTGTAGAGGTTTTTGATTCATGTACAAGTCGGTGTTCCCCCGGAAAAGCCCGGAAGCTGTGCTAGATCCAAGGGTTGAATAGCCTGGACGGGCTCAAAGCCCTGTGCGGTGCCCAAGAAACATTGAGCAACCTCTTCAGAGTCTGAACTCAGCCGAGCTATATCCTCGGATTCTGGAGAAATCTCTTATGAGTCCGAGTGGACGTGAAAGTTCTTCAAACACCGTCGGCCATGCAGTCCGATGACGTTGTCCCAGAAATAACGCATGATTGAATTTCGATGCAAAGGAAACTTTAGCAGAAAAATGTTGCCAAATAAAGCTCATAGGTCAGCCTTAATAGCGTTTATAGCATGCCAACAGCATCCCAGAAAGAACGCATGATAGCGCTAGACTGCTCCTCTGGACTTGTTCAATGACGCCCAAACCTGCTGCGTTGTGGTGTTCAAGGGGCCATTTGTGCCAGATGGCCAAGCCGGTCATATGGGTGTGGCTGTTGCTATAGTGGTGATCATCACCAACGAGAAAAAGCAGTGAAAGCAAAGGAACTAGATTAATGATGTCACTAACGGTGCTATAAAACGTGTCACATAGGGTTCAGACTAGGAACCGGGTTATGTAGGCGACCGCTCGCACTTGTCCATCCAAACGGCAACACTTAGCCGGTATCGGCCATAGCCGACCGGTTAAAAACTAAGCCCAAGTTCCCAAGCCTGGAACCAGCTAATAGGCTATCTTCGCTCCTCAAGGAACCTCTTCAGGTCTGACATAGCCCCGAACGAAAGCCAAAGCCTTAAGGTCCAGGCGAGGATTTTAGCTCCCATGAGTTGGCGCTGGGCCATATAGCTCCCAGGCAGGATCAATTATGCGGTACAGCAAGTTCAACTAATTGCGGGACTGGGTTTGCTACGATGATGAAGACAGTGGTATAAGGTTTGAGTTTTTGACAGGGATGGAGGCTCCTAAAGGCTAATGATCGTGGGGGGGGGGTCGTATTGAGGCCTTTCACGGGGAAGGATGGGTCATGAACGTTTTCGAAATTGGAACTCGTAACGGTTGACACCGCCTCCAAAGGATCTGGGGTCCCTGAGTAATCATGGGAACAGTTTCCAAATACATTTTGTTCATAATATAAAGTATGCAGAGAAAGGGTCCTGAGTGGAATATAAGATTACGGTAGGATGGAACAAGCTGAGAAAAACAGAACCTGATAGCTGTATGTGTAATACGAGAATAATTAGAAGCGGAAATGACAGTTAAAAGGTGTGCGAAACGGAACGCATCGTAGAAAGTGCAGAACAAATGATCACGAGCTCAGCGACGTTCCAACGAGCATGGGGCCGACCGCGGATAACCATATCTCGCAGATCGTGCGCATAAAAATAGGCGGCAATCAAAAAATGTGAATCTTCAAAAAGGAAAATACGGTATAGGGCGCCAAAAAGGATACAGAGCTGGTTTACGGTAGCACACCGGAGATTGTGCAAGAATCACGTCCAAAACGGCGAAAAACGATGGGGAATTGTGTATGATCACAGCCCTGGACGACGGAGATGGTGGCGCCCCCGTTGTCACACACGGGTGGAGTCAAAAACACGATCGTCGAAGGTAATCGGGTCGAGCGTGCGCGGCGTCCTCTGCTGACTACTATCGTGGTGTTCAATCTTCGAAATAGCGGTTGGTGGTGTCGTCGCGCCAACGCCGGCGGACCGCCCTCAACTGATCTGATGGCTGCTGTCGTCCACCAGCGAACGATTCCGCACGGTTGGCGGCGCGTTGGGCTTGCCGCCCCGATTTGGGTCAGCAGGGTCAAGCGAGGCGTTGAGGAAAATTTGGAAATACGACCCCCCCCCACCACCCTCCGCCGGAGGCCGAAGTCCATGAAACAACCCTCTTCAAAAGCCGAACTATGAAAAGGTTGAAAAGCTTGTTTAATTCTCCCCCAAAACTGCTCATAAAAAAGCCCTGCTACCCCACCGCCCACAAAAAAATTCGTTTAAGAAGTACAAAAGTGAAAAAGTCAAAGAATAATCATTATTGATGAGTCCTACCAAACGAGCAAACGAGAAACAGACCAAGAAAACGACAAACTAGTCACTAAAAATGGCATACTATGACAATCTCTTCTTTATTTATTTCCTTCACAAGACTTACCAAATTCTAGTACTACACAGATTATGGTTCTCAATTTACACGTCCCCCTTTCGCTCAAAGGAAGCCTTGTAAAAGCCTTCGCCAGCTGTGTGTTGACTGGACTTTGGCGTTGACCGTGGAGCAGCTTATTTACTATTGAAATTTGAACAAATATTCAAATGATTATAACTTTCTTCAAAGTTAACGAATTTTCAATCTGAAAGCAGATTTGGAAGTTTTGTGAAGAG